ATATATATATATATATATATATATATATATATATATATATATCATATATTTTATTTCTAACATTCTCGTATTAATAAAGTCTAATGCCTAAGATAAAAACTTAGCTGATCTAGGAGAAAAGCGGGGAGGGGGAGGGAGAGAGAAAGAGAGAGAGAGAATATCTCTAATTTTTTATACACGCCATTTGATTTTGAATTCTAACGCAAATCCAATTTATTTCACTCCCGAAACGATTTATCTGGGTAAACCCATATGATATAGTCCATACAATACAAACCTTGCAGCTATGTTATAACACATTGCTGCAATATTGTAACGTTGCAGCAAAGTTGCCGCAGTATAGTTGCAAAGTTTGTGTTGTATGGCATATCCATACCGTAATCATTATATAAAAAGTAAAATATGTAGTAATGGCAAATAAAACAGATTTGTCATTTATATACTTGAATTTAAATGGTGCGGCGTAGTGCAGCATGGCGCAACGATGTGTAATGTGCAGTGGAAGAATGAATGGAAAGGATATTTAATGCGGATAAAAACACGTACACGCAAAAGATAAAAGATAGATATTGGTTGAGAGTTACTTGGGTAATTCATAATCACATGCAAGAGTTGATGTTTCGATACGCATCATTTCATCATCCCGTCCCAAGTAGCATATACCGATTGGCAAACCGTCAGCCAACATCAAACCAACATTAGCTAACGTCTGGCCAACATTCTGTCACTATTCGGAGTACGATCTCCATATCGTTTGGATTGGTGGAAAATATTTTCATAAATTGAGAAAAAGATATAACGTAGCACATCCGTTACATCCATCGTTGCGATGTTGATTATGAAGGTAACGTTTCTTATTCATTTCTGACTTTTGTATGTATATGCAAATATGCAAATACCCTCTTCCTTTTGCAATCAAAATATCTTAATAAAGATATCGATATAATTAAATTCTCAAGAACGTTAATTTCTTCAAGTTCAGTCATAATGAACTCACGGCCGATTATCGACATTCCGGATACACCCGCTTCTCGGATACACCCGCTCGAAGCTATCTATAACCACAAACTTGTTCGCTGTTAAAAGTTACATTCCATCGGCCAAACAACCAGTTTTGAATCGGTTTCGAATTCCCGATGACTCATGGATCAAATGGATCTTGGATCGCATCCGGCATGTGGTGTGAGCAAGAAGGAAAATGAGAATAATCATCATGATTTGATAGGGATGGATTGGATTTCGTATGTTTTCTGCACCAATTTTTCCAATTTAATTCGTGCACGCGTGTTATATTATATAAACTTAATTACGATTCAATAATAAAGGATTTCACTATGAATGCGAATTAATGCGAAATGCGAAAAAAATCAGATATAACATATCTTATATCAGAATTTTACAATTCTGCAACATAACTTCTAGCATTCTAGCCATAATAGTATATGCAGATTCCATGAGAATGTTCGGAAGACATCACAAAATAAATTATATATATTTTCGTCGATATTTGAGACATAGAATTAATATAAAATGCGATTAATGTAAAAAAATATTCATGGGTTCAACTTTTCTATTAT